AGGGATGTTAGTTGTTGTTGTAGCGCCAGAAAAATCTCCCCGGGAAGCTGTTACCTCGAAACAGGGTGGCTGGAGTGGTCTCTGCAGCTCCCCCTGCTCTGGCCTTGCATCATGTTGTCTGAAGCAGCTGAGCTGCCTCTGTCTTCTGGGCAAGAGGCGGGGGGGGGCTCCTAGGATTGACACTGCTGGCTGGAGCCTACCTGTCCCTTGGGAAGCCGGGCACCAGTCTAACAGGGGGAGTCAGACTTTGCTCTCAGGGCTCAGGCAGGACATGCTTGTCAGAGGTGCCTTCCTAACACAGCCCTTTCCACAGCCCACTTCTCCCTCCCTCACACCTCAGTTTCCTCATCTATAAAATGATGAATTTAGCTCAGTAATTTAAAATGTTTTGGCAGCAGAACTAATTTTTTAGACATCTGTACCAAAGTCCAATATTCACAACATAAAAATTTTTATTTTGATTATTATTATTTCAAATTTATAAGATGTACTTATTAAGCAGTTAGTAAGTGCTCTGAGGCTGTTAGGATGAACAGGATGGTTGCTGATTTACACCAGCCTCTGCTTCTAATTCATTCTCTTACCTGTTTTTGGTTTTGCACAATGAGAAAATCAGGAAAAGCCTGATCACAGAGTTAGTAGTTGGAGTAACTAATATTTGTGTGTTTGTTTGTTTTTAAGCTAGCCTTGCAACCTCAGGATACTGAAAAAGGAATAGAAGAATTTGCTTTTGTTGTTTCAGAGATGAATCATTAACAATATATTGGACGGACCATATGTAACTGGCAAAACCCCACAGTTTTGGCCTGCAAAAACAGCGAATTCGTATAATTCAGTCGAATAAGAATAGCTAATGTTTATTTCCTGTGTGCCAGGCCCCATGCCAAACACTTTGGAAGCATGATGTCACTTAATCTACACACAGCTCCCCGTAGTACAGGTAAGGACGCTGAGGCACGGGGGCGTTGTCAACGGTTGCACTGGCGACCAGAACCGCCAACTCCAGCCCCCATCCCAGCAGTCCAGGCCCAGCCTTGCTCGGGGTTAATGGGGTTCCAGGTCAGTCCGCCTCCGCCCGCCCGCGGGGAGGGGAAAGCATCCAGCCTTTGTGCCCAGCGGCGCCCCGCTGCCCGCCTGAGGCCCAGGAGCTGTTTGTTTTATTAACGGGGTTAACCAAACCTCCGGCCGGCCGCCCAGTAGAAGCCGAGCCGTGAAAGGGGCTTTGTGTGAGCACAGTGGAAGGCGAGGGCCGAGCCAGGGCGGAGACGCTGTCCAACCCACCTGCGCGCCGGCGACCAGGCGGCCCTGGGAGAGGGGGCGTGTCGGGCGGGGGACACCTCTGCCCCCAACCCTTCCTGCCCTCTGCTTGGCCCTTGATCCTCATCTCCAGGCTCCACGTCTGTACAGTGGGGCGAGAATGGCCCCCTCCCTGGCAGGGCTGGTGTTGGCATCAAGAGACAGGTGTTTACAATGTGGCCCCCAACCAGGAGCATAAGCATCACCAGCGACCTTGGGGAAAACGCACTGGGTCAGACTCCACGCCAGGCGTATGCATTCGGAAAACCCCGGTTAAGGCCGTGTAATCTGAGACTGGAACTTAGATCAGTGTTCACATACTGAGAGGGCCAATGTTTAAAGTATACAGAAAACAAACTTTTCCTTTGACTGTAATAACTGCTTTGGAGTGTACATCATGTCACGTGTTCCTCTTTACAGGAAAATATTCTCCATAAGTTGTTTTATCTCCCCAAAGACATAAATGTCTCCAGGTCAAGGATCTTGTTTTTCTTCATTGGGATCTTCACTCAGGTCTGAATGAAATGCTGTGGAATAAGGAGCTGCAGGTTTACTACCAAGTGTTTTACGAGTCAGGTGCATCAAATCTCCCTCTATAAATGGGGATGGAAATCCATTGATTTGAGACTTCTCAGAAACAGCTGAAAATCAAATAAGTGAATGAGGTGGATGATGGTCTTCAGAGAGAGAGAGAGAGATAAGAGTCTCTGAAGGTAGGAAGAGGATTTCTGTTGTTATCCCTCTGCAGGCCTTCCTGTAACCCTTCAGCAACCCTGCTCCCTTCCTGCCTCTTTCCCAGGCCTTCCCTCCTCTCCCTAGCCTTTTCCCAACATCCTCCTCCCCCATTAATTCATAGTCTTTCAATCAACAATGCTTCTTTTGAGCATCTGCTACATGCTTGGCACCATGGTGGCAAAACCCTGACAAGAGACCAGGTCCCTCGCTCACTGGTACTGAGTCTGGGGGCCGAGTTGGGGACACCAGCGAGAAACAATAAACAAACAGTAACAGTAATATTGGAATGAGTGCAGAGACAAGGTGCTATGATAGGATGGTCAGGAAGGAAGGTGTCTATGAGAAGGTGAGTTTTAGGCTAAGAATTAGAAGTTTTAGGCAAAGCCCACCAGGTGAAGAGTAAGGAAAAAGTGTTGCAGGGAGGGATTCCCTGGTGGCACAGTGATTAAGAATCCACCTGCCAATGTAGGGGACATGGGTTTGATCCCTGGTCTGGAAAGATCCCACATGCCGCAGAGCAACTAAGCCCGTGTGCCACAACTACTGAGCCTGTGCTCTGGGGCCCACGAGCCACAACTACTGAGCCCGTGCACCACAATTACTGAAGCCCACATGCCTGGAGCCCGTGCTCCACAAGAGAAGCCACCGCAGTGAGAGGCCCGCGCACCGCAACGGAAAGTAGCCCCCGCTCGCTGCAAGTAGAGAAAGCCCACACGCAGCAATGAGGACCCAAGGCAGCCAAAAAAAAATAAAATTTAAAAATTAAAAAAAAAAACACAAACCTTCTAAAAAAAAAAAAGTGTTTCAGAGAGATGAAACAGTGAGTATAAATGTCCTGAGGCAGAAAGAGTTCGTTAGGTTTGAAGAACTGGAAGAATGTCGCTGTGGCTGGAGCCCCATGCTTGAGAGGGTAGGAGAGAAAATGAGAGATGGGCTGGGTCATTTAGAGCTGCGTAGACTACTATGGTGGGGAGGGTGGGTTTTGTTTTAAGCACAGTGTGAAGCCTTTGGACAGTTTTAAGCAGATGCCTTGACGGTCTGTTCTATTAGGTAGAGAGTAGACCTTGTATGAGGGAGAGAGGCAAGGAAAAACAAGAGGTCCATTAGAAGATGTGGCAGTGTTCTGGGTGGTAGGAATAGAGACAGAGGCAGACCTTCATTAGGATGGGCGACCAAGAAGTTTAGAGGTTTGAGGGTCCTAGAAGAGGACTCCCTGAACAGCAGACAAGGAGAGCAGGGTCCCTGACTGATGGGGCCCTAGAGAACAAGGGAGGTAATGAAACACCAGCACTTCTCCTCATGGTGGATCGTTTCCCTTCCAGGAGGTTTCAGCTTCCTGATTCTGAGGCCCCTGTGAGATGGAATTTGGTGGGGGGAAAGTGTGGAACGTAGTATTGGTGAGACCTGCTTGCCCCCTTATGGGGTCATCCTCTCAGCCTCTCTCTGGAGGCAGAGCTGGGAATGGGGAGTTTCTGCTCCAGCTCAGAAACACCTCTGCACTAGCAAGGGAGGGAGGGAGTCAGTGGTCCCCCAACCCCAGCTCCTACGACAGGTTCTCTGCTCCTTCCCACCATCAAGCTTTCTGCTGGGGTGAGCTCTGGGAGGCAGGGGCCTCGCCTTCCTTCACTGCCCCCCAAGACTATCTGGGGAGGAGTCAGTGGAGTGGAGGCTTGTGCTGAATGGGAAAGGTCCCTTAGGCGGGTGGGGGAAGGGCACTGAGAGGTGGGAGCAGAAGCCTCTCCTAGCACAGGAGGTGAGAGAGTTCTGGATTAAATCCCGTCACACACCCAGAAAGACTCTGCCAGAAGAGTGGGCAAGGGCAGCCTAGTGCCACCTCCCACAGTCCCTCTTCCCCATCCATTGCCCTGCATACCAACATCACCCACCTGTGTTTCCAGGATGAGCCCACAAACTGCCATTTTCCTAATACTTAACTCTGCTGAGGTAAGCGCTTCGCAGGGATTATCTCACTCAGTTTTCGTACACTCTCCTGAAGGAGGCATATTATCTCAATTTTGCAGATGAGCACAGATCTACACAGTTGGGGAAACCCAAGCTGTCTGACCGCTAAAGCAGAGCCTCTGTCTCTACACTGCCTCTTCTCCGCCTGATGAAGGTTTGGGCTGAAAGATGATTGAAATGGAGGAATGGATTTTTAAAGTGAATGAATGGGGACTTCCCTGGTGGTCCAATGGTTAAGAATCCGCCTTCCAGTGCAGGGCAGGTGGGTTTGATCCCTGGTCTGGGAACTAAGATCCCACGGGCCGCCGGGCAACTAAGCCCGCACTCCACAACTAGAGAGACCGTGTGCTGCAACTAATGAGCCCGTGCGCTCTGGAGCCCACGCGCTGCAACAAAGAGCCTGCCTGCCGCAAAGAAGACCAGATGCAGCCAAATAAATAAATATTTTTTTAAAAAATGAATGAATGGGGCTTACGAATGCTGGGGGAAGGGGGACATCAAAGCCAGAGTGCGTCCAAGCTTTACCCCAGGCCGCGCTCCCAGGGTCCACGTTGAAGGTGGAGGGAAGGAGATGGGGGTGCAGCCTGGTCCCGGGCAAGGGTGTGAGGAACGCAAGGAACGCCCCTGGTTGATCTGGGCCCAGCCTCCCTCTTTGCCAATGCCCACAGGGGCTTAGTCCTTAGCAGGCGCTCAAATAAGAGCAGGTGAAATTTGGCTCTCCCGCATTCCTGTCAATCACTGGGGACTCGGTGAATGTGGACACGTCGACAAACAGATGGCTCTCTGCCGAAGGGTCTCCACGCACTGCAGCCCCACTAGGCTCAGTGGGCGGCGCCTCGCGCCATCGGGCTCCAGCCTAATCAGCCCCTTGCAGGACCCGGCGGCGCTGGGGAACGCCCTGGGCGGGGCCAACGTGGGAGCGGGGCCCGCAGGCACGAGGAGGCGGGGCCGGCGACGCCGCGGTCTCTGGTCGGTGCGCGGAGAGTTCGGCTGCAAGCGGCGCGTGCATGCTGGAAGTTCGTATCCCGTCGGTGGGGCCCGAGGCCGAGGGGACGCGGCAGAGCCCCGAGAAAGGCCACATGGTGAGCGGGGGCAGTGGATGGGAAGGGGCGCGGGGACCCGCCGGATTTCCCTGTGTCAAATGCAATGCGGAACCCGCACCTCGGGTTCGGGGTCCGAGTGCGGCGGCCCAGGCCGTCTGGGGACACCCTGCCGACGGTCTCTGGGCCGCTTGGACTTGCCAGCCCCGCCGACGGCGGTCCCGGCTCCTGAGGGACTGACTGCACGGAGCAGAGTCCCCAAGTGTGTGGGGACTTGGGAGGGTCCCTGGAGAGCAGCGGCGTTCCCAGGCCGCTTTGCGCCTCTGAGGGCGGAGGGTGGGCGCGTCGCCGGGAGCCGGTCCTGCTGCACCAACCCGTCGGGCCTCACGCGCACCCGGCTGCCCTCCCGCGCCCGCCAGGTGTTCCGAGTGGAGGTGCTGTGCCACGGGCGCAGACACACCGTGCAGAGGCGCTACAGCGAGTTCCACGCGCTGCACAAACGGGTGAGGCTGCGCCCACCACCGACAGACCGACCCCGGCCCGGCTCCTTCCCAAGCCCTGAGAGGCAGGCAGACGAGCTGGCGGGCCCCAGCCTCTGCCACCCTCATTACCGGGCGCTAGAGAGCTCAGGTCGAGGGCACAGACCTCCCTGCGGGCTGCGGAACGCGCGCAAAGGGTTAGGTTCCACGTGCTGCCCGTGCCCCTGCGCGGCTGGTCTGGCGTCGGGCGTCTTGGGGGCGGACGGGGGTGTTGGGGGGGGCCTCTCGCCCTTGTCCCAACCACTACTCACCACGCGGGCGTGCCTCAGGGTACAGCCTGAAGTTTGGGGGTGTGGGTGGCAGGGAGGACTGGGGAGGGCTCTTGGCTAGGATGAAGTGAGCTTGAGGGCTCAATCGGGATGCTGTGATCGCACTGCGGTAACCTCCTGGCAGATCAAGAAACTGTTCAAAGTGCCCGACTTCCCCTCGAAACGCCTGCCCAACTGGAGGACCAGAGGACTGGAGCAGCGGCGGCAGAGCTTGGAGGCCTATATCCAGGTGTGTGTGGGTCTCACTCTGTTGCCTCTCAGCCTGCTGGACCAGACGTGTGACACCGGCAGAGAGGTGCGGTGATTGGGGTGAAGGGGACCTACATTTTGGCCATGTTCTAGCACTTCATCCCTCTCTGAATTGGTAGGTTTGAGTGAGGTAACCAGGAGGCAGGTAGTCCCAGTTAAGTGAAGGCTAGCTCTCTTTTTCTCCAGGGTGAGATCCTGTGCTGCCCTCCTGATAAGGGTGGAGATCCTTCCCCCACTCTCCCACACGGTTATGCCCAATTGCAGGCCAGGCTGGCTTCGTGGGCCAGTGCTCAGAAGGGCTCTAGCTTGGTTTAATGCTCTGCTCTGGCTGTCTTGAAATTCTTTATCATTTTGGAACGGCCCACAGGTTTTCAATTTGCACCAGGCCTTACGTATTACACAGCTGAATCTGATTACAGGTTGCCTCTGTTCTCTTCTCCAGGGCATCCTATACTTGAACCAGGATGTGCCCAAGGAACTACTGGAATTCCTGAGTCTTCGCCACTTGCCCGTAGTCCCCAAGGCCAGCAGCTGGGGGTGAGCATCTCTAGAGGCGCTTGGCATGAGAGGGGCCCCAGTGTTGTGGGGACAGGGGCTCTCTGCAGCCAGCAGGTGAGGAAAGGTTTTAGAGGTCAAGCCCCTTTCCTTCTTGTATCTCTGCCAGGCCCTAGCCTGGTTCTTCCTCTTTAAGACACACCTCCCCAGTAGGCTTTCTTGACCCCTGTGAAGGGGCTGTTTTCTGAAGAGCCTTGGCTACCCCAGGTGCCTCCTGAGCAGAGTTTGTTACAAATAGAAGCAGCAGTCCCCTGGGAGGTGAAATTCTGGGCTTCCGCATCTCCACCCCCCACCCCCACCCCCCACCCCGGCATCCCCAGGCAGCTCACAGCCTCTCTCTTCTTTTCAGCACCCTGGGGGAGTTCCTGCCAGGCAACAGCAGGCAAGTCAAAGTCCCTGTCTGCACTGGGTTCCTGCTGCCCCCTCGTGGCCATATGCCAGGGCCTGAGGTCTCTGGCCTGTCCCCGTGCTTCAGGTTTTCATGTTGTTGCCTCCTGAGCCCACTTCCCACTTTTCCTCTGTGGGTCCTTGGTGATCTCAGTCCTTAGTCTCCACCCAACCTGACACTTTTCTCTGTTTCCCCCTCCACTGTTCATGACCCGTTTTCTTCCTAGCTCACAGCTGTACCACCGGCCTGTTATCAGCTTCTGCATGGATCCTTATATTTGCATCCCATCCCCAGGTGAGGAGGTGCCTCTGACCCATAATCCACATTTAGGGCCCAGGTACCAGGGTGGGAGTGGGGGTGAACTTGATATTTCTCAGCTCACAGGACCCCTAGGCAGCATCTCCCTCCTACTGCCCTCCTTTGGGGCCACACCTCCCTGCTGTTCCTGTGCCCCTGTAGCCTGCTTTGTATTTTCCTCCAGGAAGTAGACATGGTGAAATGAGCTTGGCTCCCCTGGTCCCCATTCTTTACCAGCCTGGCTTTACCATGATGTGAACAGAATGTGAACTGGGAATGCCAAGGCCTCATTTGAGGTGGCCAGCTGCTACCTGCTGCCTTGGCAGGGACCCCTGTTCTCAGGGAACAGGGAGTGCTGAGCCTATGAGCAGGAGCTCAGGGAGCTGCAGGCCTGCAGCCAGGCCCACCCCACCTCCTCTTGCCCCGAAGCCCCTACCCCTTACTCCTGTTTTCCTTCTGTCCTAGAGCCTCTTCCCAACGTGGTGGTGAACGGTGTGCTCCAGGGCCTCTATGGCTTCAGCGCCAGCACAGCTAAAGCCCAGCCAGAGACTGCCTGTCACCCTGTTCCAGTGCCACCGATGCCCTGACCAGTCCAGAGCGCTTTAGGCCACCTGCCAGGACAGTCATGTACCTCAGTCCTATGAAAGGGACATGGGCTGGGTCAGCCTTGGCCTGGACCCCGGACTCACCACCCTCCACCCCTCCAGGCTCAGAACTCAGCTGCACTGGTGTCTGAGGTGGTAGGATCCTGCACTCCTAGAGCCCAGGGGTCAGGGTAGGGGCAACAGAGGATAGGGAATAAAGGGAGAATTCTTTTAGAATGTTCATAGCCCACCAGTTTGGAGGTGGGCTATGAAAAGGTGCAGGTGTATTCCTTTACCTACGTCAGGAGAAAGGCGTGGCGGGGACATGCAAAGGTTGAGGCACAGTGGCTAGCCAAGTTCAGAAGCAAGGGGCAAAAGCTCCTGCTTGACATTTTGTGTGTAGCACATTTTTCTGTGAATGTCCAGATCTGTTTCCCCCTGCCCTCCCAGACTTGTGTGGCCAGTTGGAAATGTCTGGTTTATGTTCATCTCTCCCTCATTTCTGGAGCATTTCTGGAGGGAAAGGGTTCAGGCCTGAACCCAAGGAGGGGACAGGCACCACTGCCACAGGAGCCCCAGACGGGCTGGCACTGGACTTAGGGTCGGGTGGGGGGGCGGTGTGCCGGAGGCCCCAGAACCCAGCCCATACGCAGATTATTAAAAAAAACACCTTTTTTTAATTGGTCAGTGTTTGTTGGTAGGAGTTTGTTACAAAACTGGGCCCGCGGGCCCGCAGAATGTGGGGGGAGGGGTCTGCTCCGTCAGACGCCAGCACTACGGCCAGTGCAGCATGGAGCCCTGTGGCGGGCTGTCTTCACCCCCAGGAGGGCAACAGGGCCACACAGACAGTTGCTCAAAGGGAAGAGGTCCCTGGGGCCCTACTCCTTGGCAATGGCAAAGGGCTTCTCCACTTCGATCTTGCCACAGTCTGCGATCGTCACGTCCTTCAGAGGCCTGTCCCGACCATCTGTCTTGGTGCTCTCCACCTTACGTACTACATCCTGGGGAGGAAGGCAGAGTGTCAGGTGGTCTGCTGGTCGAGGGAGACGGGCCCCAGCTTGCGGCCGCGAGGGCTGAAACCTGCACGTGATGAACAGCGCACAAACCACGAGGCACCAAAATCCTAAGGGCATCGTGGCCGGGCGCCAGCCCAGGGCAAGAAGAACCCAGATTTGACAACAGGAGGATGCAGTAGTTTCGATCCTCTGAAGTATGACCCAGGCTGGGCTAGGTGTGAGGAGCGGGGCGGCTGGGGAGAGGGTGCCAAGAGGCTTCTCCAGGACAGCGTGTTCACCTGGGCCCTGTACAACCGACGGTGGTGCCAGGACATGACTGACTGAATAACGGGATGGAGGGTCCTCAATTGTGCAGCCTCACCGAGACCTGCTGGCCGGCCTCTGCCTGGGGCCTGGAGGGATTTAGAACTTGGAGGCAGGACTTCCCTGGCGGCCCAGTGGTTAAGACTCTGGGCTTCCATGGCAGGAGGCACGGGTTCAATCCCTGGTCAGGAAACTAAGATCCCGCACGCTAGACGGCGTGACCAAAAAAAAAAAAAAAAAAGAACTCGGGGGCATAGAGAGAGAGGCTGTTTAGTCTCAATTCCCCCCAGGTTTGTAGAAATAAACACTGGTCAGAATCTGTACATTCCCTTCTGGGAAAGGGATAAAATATACGGATCCCCGGCCCTGGGGTCTGTGTCAGATCCCTGGTCAGGGTTGCCCAGGGTTAGTCCCTCCCCCCTCCCGAAACTCACCATGCCCTCCAGAACTTTGCCGAACACTACATGCTTGCCGTCTAACCAGGCTGTCTTGACCGTGGTGATGAAGAACTGGGAGCCGTTGGTGTCTTTGCCTGCGTTGGCCATGCTGACCCAGCCGGGGCCGTAGTGCTTCAGCTTGAAGTTCTCATCAGGGAAGCGTTCGCCATAGATGCTCTTCCCTGGGAAGAAAGAGTAGGTCGGGGAGCTGGGGGAGTCCCAGCGAAGCAGATCTTCGGGGCGAGGATTCCAGAGGCTGAACCTGTCCCCCGTGCCAGGCCAGGCTCCAGTGGAGTACAAGGACGTACAAGCTGTTCCCTTCCTACCCTCTGGCCCTGGAGCCAAACCATACTGACAGCCCAAGTGGGACATGAGGCCAGGGTGATCTAGTGAATAGCTCACACAATGATTACTTTGAGAATATAGTTTTATGACTTTCAAATAAGGCACATATTAAAAACTACCTTGGCTGTGGCCTGCGAGGCCTTCCATGGGGACTTACTTTAGTGGAGGGAGGTGCTGTGCAGGATGCAGGGGAGCTAAGAACCCTCCAGAAAAGAAGGACTAGGGCTTCCCTGGTGGTGCAGTGGTTGAGTCCGCCTGCTGACGCAGAGGACACGATTTTGTGCCCCAGTCCGGGAAGATCCCACATGCCGTGGAGCGGCTGGGCCCGTGAGCCATGGCTGCTGAGCCTGCGCGTCCGGAGCCTGTGCTCCGCAACGGGAGAGGCCACAACAGTGAGAGGCCCACGTGCCGCAAAAAAAAAAAAAGAAAAGGAGGACTGCTGTGGCTGACTGACTAGCTTTTCTTCCTAAGAGCACAAGGTACTGAGGACACTCCAAAGCAAGAAGAGAGATGAGTGGGGAGGGGCAGGGAGAAGCAAAAGAGAGGGGCCACCATTTGAGTTCTGGAAAGTCAAGAGCCTCTTATCAACGCATGAACCAAAATAAAAGGAGGCTCTGAGTGTGTTTACTGTGTCTGTCTGTGGAGGGTCTGGGGCCAGCATACAAGATAGTGGAGCCGAGAGGATCTCTACCCCATTCCAGAGATCCTAAGTTCCCAAGGCTGGTTCCAGGAGAAATACTGCACCCTTCTTTGTCCCTGTCCTCTCCTAGAGATTCACACTGTGCACTAGAGGCCCCAAGAAACCTAGCAACAAAGAAGTAATTTTCATTTTGTTTTACCTTTCAAACTTATTTGCGTATGAAACCTTTTTCCTCTTCGATACACGTATTTTCATCCTGTGGTTCCCAAAGAGTGGAACCAGGCTGGGAAGCTGTCCTAGACTGATGCTGAGGAGGTATTTCTGATTGTACAGTAAGTGGGAAGTCTGAAAATCACCTGGCCAGGAAGGACTCAAGCAGACAGATAAGGAGACTGGGGATGAGCCTCTTTACATCAGTTTTATATTACTTGCTCTACTTCACCAGGAGATCACGGTGCTGTGACCTGGGGTGTTTTCTAACAGCGTGACAAGGAAGACTTGCTCCCCCTTCCTATCAAAGAGAGAATAGTTTTGGAGGGGAGCAGTGGGATGAAATAAAGCAATGAAATGCGAAAATAAAACTGTCAACTCTTAGTTTTTTTTTAAAAAAAGAGGATTCCCATGTGAGAATCCTCTTTGTACATCTCAGTGAACTGCAGGAATTCAACTGCTGCTGCTATCCAGAAAATTCCCAAGTCTATATCCTTAGCTCCAATCACTTTACCAAGATATAAGGAGTCCCAAACTTAAATGGATAGTGAAGATTTTAAACTCAACATACTTTGTCATCTTTCTCTCCAGACTTCGGTTATTCTTTTGACATTTGTTTCCTCCTCACGTTGTCAATGTTGTCCTCACCCCCCGTCATGGATTCATCCTTTTCTCCCATCCCTGCTACCCCTGCTGCAATCACGGCTAATGCTCAGAGTGGAAACAGTGTGCCAGAGGGCTGGTGCAAGCATGTGAAACATAAAAAACCCACCCTGTAAGGCAGGAGCTAAGAGCCCCATTTCAAAGATGAAGAAACCGAGGTACAGAGGTTAAAGGCACCCCAGCTGGGAAGTAGCAGAGCTGGAATTCAAACCAAGGTGGTCTGGCTCTCGAACCTGTGCTCTTACCCACTAGGTATCCTCCCTGGGTTCCGGCCCACATCGCCCGACGCAGGGGCAGCTGCACCAACACCCCTGCCAGTCTGCTTCTCCTGTGTCCATGTCCTGAATCTGCCACATTATTATCCCTCAAACTCCTTTGCGATCAGGCCTTGCTCCCACTCAAGTCTTCAGCGGATCACTCCGTGGAGGACAAAGCCCTGGGTCCCTGGCCTGGGCGCGGCCCGCCACTCTGAATTCCCGGTGGGAGCTTCACTTCCATCCTCCTGACCCCACCTTTGGCCAAGTTCCTGCCGCAGACCAGACCTGAGCTCACGCCTTAACCCTGCCTCTTTCCTGCCCATGCAAATTCTCCCCAGCCAGATCTGTCCCCAGTCAAATCTGTCCTCACGTTTACGAGGCCATTTCCTGATCACCTTGGCGCAAAGTGAGTCCTTTACTTGTCAGCACTTTGACGACGGCTGACTTTACTTACCACTCGGTGGGGACTACGCACTCAACATCTCACCTCACCCTCCCAGCACCCACAACTCTTACTACTTACTCTACAGAAGAGGAAACAGGTTCAGAGGACTCACTTGCCTGAGGTCACAAAGTAAGAAGGTGGCAGACACCCAACTGTGTGTGACTCCATGATTACAGTGCTTTTGTATCATGTCTGCTTTGTCTTTGTCGTCCAGCTAGCTATGACTTACATCTTGTATTATGTCACTTTCATAGTGTTTTCTCCTCGTTCTTCCCACCTTGACGATAAACCACTTGAGGACAGAGCCTGAGCCCTAAAAGCTGTGTTACAGCCCATTTGTGACTTTTCAGGTACTGGAAGTGAAAGGGAGTTGCTGTCCCACTCGTTTTTGCATCCTCGGCACCCACCACAGAGCCTGGCCCAGTAAATATTGATCGGTGGGGTGAGCTGCAGCTGTGGTCTAAAGGAACAGCAGGCTGTGCACCCAAGTGTGGTGAGACCTGTTGGTTAGTCCAGGCTGTCTGTCTGTCCTACTGTACAAGTAGCGCAGGTGAGACTGCCAGCTCTTGTCAAGTGGTCTCTGGGGGGAGACTGCCAAGGAAAGCAATTTCCCCCACCCTTGCTGGGGCTTCCAAGGCCGCCCACACAAGCTTTGCATGCCTGACCTAGAATCACCTACAGCTGTTT